GTATCTCTTTCGGACGGGAGATGCCTAACTGGGATCAGCGACCTAAGACCATGATACGGATAGAGGGGTTATACCTAGGGTGCCGGTGAGGTTAGGCTAGCGGGGCTGTGGCGAGTCGGTGCAGTGGCGCCACGACTGCGGTGCAGGCAGACCCGCAACGCTGACGAAGACAATCGGGGTCACCGAGGTCCCTCCACCGGGGCCTCCTCCTGCATAAAAAGGCAATACATTAGTGACAATTGAAAATTTCGGCAGAACCTCCCCTGCACGGGAGGTTTCAAAAACCTGCAAAAAAATCGGCACGAAGGCCAACATCCACAAACAACGGCTCGATGGCCGAAAGCCACATACAACAACTATTACTACTAACAAGGGCTCGATGGCCGACATCCATTGCACGATTTGAATAGAAAGGGAAGGGCGAACCTAGTGTGCTCGTCCACGGTGGGCGGAGTCGGGAGCGGGGCGCCGAGGGCATGGCACCGCCGCTAACGAGGCGTGGACAGCGGTCGGGGCTCCTCCTCCCTTCCTCCTCCCTTCTCCTCTCCACCTCCCTTCTCCTTCTTCCTCCTCCCTTCTCCTCTCCTCCCTCCCTTCTTCCTTCTTCCTTCTTCCTCCTCCCTTCTCCCTTCTTCCTGCTCTTCTCTTCCTCCTCTTCTCCCCTTCCCTTCTCTCCCTCCTCCCCTGCTCCTCCTACCTCCCCTGCTCCTACGGGCGGCGCAGCCAGGGAAGGGACGACCGGGACACAGCCGTCGCTACCGGAAATGGCCGGTCGGCACCAGCCAGCCACCTCTGGGCGACCGAGGCGAGGGGGGCCGGGCCGCGGGGAGTTGCCGGGGCGGGGCGCGGCCGGTGACGGGCGCGGTCGCGGGTGAGGCCGGCGGAGGGCGCAGGCGCGGGCGCACGCGGGCGCGAGGGCGGGGCTCGCCGGCGGTGGCGATTCGCCGGCGAGGGCACGGCAGCGGCGGGGGTGGGCGCGGCAGCGGCTGGGGTGGGCGCAGGGGAGCGAGCGTGGCTGGGGGCGTGAGGGTTGGGCCGCGCGGGGTTGGGCCGATGGGCTTTTAGGGCATTTTTTTTATTTTTGAAAATCAACTTTGCCGAGTGCTCCCAGGGCCGGCACTCGGCAAAGCCCACTTTGCCGAGTGCCCCCCATGGCACTCGGCAAATTTTTTTTTTGATTTTGGGCCCAAATTTTTTTCTGGGGCCTTGTGACAGTATTTCAAACTCTATTTTAAAATTTGGGGCAATTTTGATTTTTTTTGATATATTTCATTAGTTTATTTTGTTTCGTCGAATTTTTCGGGATATTTCAAATTTGAACTGCAGGTACATGGAATAATGGACTTTGGTCATCCAAAAATTGATACTCATAATATTTAGGGTATGTTTAGGCCGTATCCAGAAACTCACATGAAATCTCGAGCATCTCGTTGACCTGACATGTCGAGGTACTTGCCGGAAATGTGATTTTAAATTATATAAAATGCAAACGAAGTCCGAAAATCACGAAACTTGTCGAGGCATCGTGTTATCGCATGTGGAGGTTGTGGTAAAAAATTGAGAAGGTTTCGAGCAAGTTGTGACATCGGAGGCTGTGATAAAAAAATTTGCCGAGTGCCTGGAGCTGGCACTCGGCAAAATAAGTTTTTAAAAATAAAAAAAAATTATCGAGTGCCAGCCGTTAGGCACTCGGCAAAATCTGACGGCAGGTGGCCGCCTTCACGGGCCGACCACCTTTTGCCGAGTGGGATCTTTGCCGAGTGCTGCGGCACTCGGCAAAGCCCAGTTTTGCCGAGAGCCAGGCTTTACCGAGTGCCTGGCACTCAGCAAAGCCACCTTTGCCGAGTGCTTTATTTTACCGAGTGCGGCACTCGGTAAAATATTGCTTTGCCGAGTGCCCCGATAAAAAGCACTCGGCAAAGTCTCAGGCACTCGACAAAGTCCAGTTTTCCAGTGGTGTTAAGGGGAAAAAACGGCGGCAATGAATATAATGATTGTCTGATTCCGCTAAGATCTATCCACATCAATATGATGCAAAAGGAGTACTACTTTCAAATGGGCAAGTTTTCGCATCCTTTATAATTCAGTCAAACACAATATTATTATACTGATGAGACCTAATCTAGCTAGCTAGGAGTATATACTGATGGAAATTAGTGAAAGCTCAAGACATGCATGTATCAGAATTGAAGTACATGTCCCATATAACGGCTGATGAAGAGAAAGCTTTCTGATAGCGCACATGCCATGATTGAGCAAATTAAAGCTAGCTGCGCCAGTAATACTTACTCCTATATGGTAGTGTATATCTCTGTCACTAAACGGCAACTGTCATTCGAATTCGAGTATGTTATTGTATTTTCAGCTATTGTTTCCGTACTTCTAGTATATATACAATCGTGGATCTGCATGCTGGATCGATGCATGCATGTGCAACAAATTGCTAATGATGATGTTCCTGATCTACAGTATTGTTTTTTTTTTAAGATCCGGTTACCGGGCTATATCATTAATAAGGAGTTAGAAGAATACAATTTCATTACAAGCGCGAGTTGCGCTGCCTGTCGCAGCAGAGGGGTGCGAAGGCCAGAAAACAGTAGCTAATTACTCACTAATGACATTTCTACCAAAAAGAGGGTTTAGGATCTTCCCCCCGGCCATGGACCAAGTGAGACACTCGTCCCTGATCTCAGCGAAAACCGCCTGTGCCGGCCTCCTGGAGTCTCTAAAAATTATAACGTTTCTTTGCTTCCAAATGCACCATAGAGTCTGTATGGAGATCGTATGAGCCATCTTTGTGCCCTTAGTCATACTGTAGAACCAGTCTTCCATATCGTGCTCACTCATCCACTGAGCTGGGTGCAAATTCTGACATCTACTCCAAGTGGAAACGAGACACCAGATTTCTCGCGAGAACGGGCACTCAATGAAGAGGTGAAGAACCGTTTCTTGATTCCTCTCGCACACAACGCACAGCAGTAGTTATTTTTCCATTCACAGAGCTGTAGACGGGCCGCGCTACGGGGATCAAGAGATTTGCCGAGTGCCCCTGGCACTCGGCGAAGCCTAAAAAACACCCGGCAAAGGGTTCGTCGAGTGTCACACTCGGCAAACGACACTCGGTGAATTTTTATCGGCAAACAGACTTTGCCAAGTGTTTTTTGTTTGACACTCGGTAAAGACCTCGCCGAGTGTCCAAAATACACTCGGCAAACATTTTTTTTGAAAAAAAAGCCACCACAAAAAAAAGCCACCCGGATCCGGCGGCCACGAGCCACCACCGGCCACCACCACCACGCCACCACCCGCCACGCCGGGGAAGAGAGGGAGAGGAGGGCGTGGCCGCCGGATCCGGGGAAGAGAGGGAGAGGAGGGGGCTGCCGGGCCAGATCTGCCGCCCGGGAAAAGAGAGGAGGGGGAGGGGCGCCGGCGGTGGGAAGAGAGGGAGAGGAGGGGGCGACCGCGCCAGATCCGCCGCCGGGGAAGAGAGAGGAGGGGGCGGCTGTGCGGATCTGCCGCTGGGAAGAGAGAGGAGGAGAGGAGGGGGAGGGCGCGGCGGTGGGAAGAGAGGGAGAGGAGGGGGGGGCGGGCGGGGCGGATCCGGGAAGAGAGAGGAGGGGGCGGCCGCCGGGGAAGAGAGAGGAGAGGAGGGGTGGGTGCGGCGGTGGGAAGAGAGGGAGAGGAGGGGGCGGCCGCGCCGGGGCTGGATCCGGCCTCCCCGTGCGCCACCGTCGCCGGATCCGCCCGCGCCGGGGCCGGATCTGGTGGAGGCGGTGGAGGAGGGAGGGAGGTGCGCCGGCGAGGCAGGAGGGGAGGGTAGGCCGCGCCGGCGCCGGAGAGAGAGAGGAGGAGGGCGGGGCCACACTGGGGCCGAGAGGGAGGAGGGGGTGGCGCGTGATCGTGCGCGGAGAAGGGGAGGGGCGTGTGAACGGCGCGGGGAGAAGGGGAGCCCGCGGCGCTGGGGTTAAAAAAGGATTTTACTTTACCGAGTGTCCTAAATCTGGGCACTCGGCAAAGATTTTTTTTCTTCTCTTTCTTTCCTAGAAAAAATATTTTTTTACTTTGCCGAGTGTAAAAAAAACACTCGGCAAACCTCATCTTTGCCAAGTGTTTTTTTTACACACGGCAAACCACTTTTTTACCGAGTGTTTTTTTTCCGAGTGTTTTTATGGCAGCACTCGGCAAAGAACTTGTTTGCCGAGTGCCCGAGAGAAAACACTCGGCAAGCACAAAAACACTCGGCAAATTTAACGTTTCCGGTAGTGCCGCTGTCCACAGTCTATCTTATAGCAGCAGCCACAGGAACATTTTGCATCTAGGAGGTGCCCAAGCTTTCCAAATTAGAGTGGGGAAGCTTTATGTTACCTGGCCTGCGAATTGGTTGTTGTAGGCGGAGGTGGCCGAGTACTGTCCCGAGGCTTCAAGCGTCCATATTATTTCATCTTCTTGCTCGTCGACTTGCAGGTTCAGTTGGACAGACTGCAGTGCATTCCACAGCTCAAAAAATTCATGCAGTATAGGTCATGGTTCAGGCTGTAAGCGATGTCTTTAACCCAGGATTGCCTATTGATAGCGTGCGTTACTGTTCTCTTCTTTCTTCTGCTATGTTTGAACAGCCGGGGAAATAGGGTGGCTGGAGCCTTAACCATCTATCCAACTGGAGGACCAAAAACGACCATCGTGTACTGTTACTCTCGTTGCTGCGGAGAAAAGCGAGATGTCCACCGAGTCGACTGGCACGGGCATTCCGCACCATGGCCAGTCCGGATTTTCCCAAGCGAACCATAGCCATCTCAGGTGGAAAGCTCTGCTAAACCTTTCCAAGTCCAGTATACCTAGTCCCCCAAAATTTTCCGGCCTCGTTACAAAGGGCCACCCCACCTTGCATTTCCCCCCCTGAAATTTCTCTATCACCAGCCCAGAGAAAACGGCGTCTAGCTTTATCCAAGTCCGCCAACAGTTGTTTGGGGGCTTTGAGGGATGTAAGAAGCTAGATCGGGATGGCGCTCAACACTGATCTCACTAATTCACGCCTCCCCAGCTGGATTAAGCAGCTTTCCTTGCCATCCTGCAGGTCTGTTTCTAGTCTTGTCCAAGGTGTGCTGGACATGCACCACTCTAGTGGCAGCCCCAGGTAGGTAACAGGAAAGGTAACACGCTGGCTCTACAGTATTGTGAGGCGTGCAAAGGGCAGATTATTATTGAACCGCGGTCATCATCACAGTGGGCAACTGGCATATAACAACTCCCATATTCATTTGGGGTGGGGTGGGGGGGAGGGCGTTCATGTGTGAGTGAGTGGCTTAACATATCTTGGTTGATGATGCCTTCCTGTGCTCAAGGCAGACGCTTGGCTTCGTTCGGCAGCAGGTTCAAGAATCATGGTACCCTCCGTTGTGTGTGTTTGCATGACAGATGGTCGTCGATGGGCTACAAGGATTTTTCATCTCCAAACATTATTTTCACAGGTAGTAAAACAGTAATGTATTCATGCATGGCCAAATAAAGGAAGGAAGAAATTAAGCTCCATTCCTTTTACATGGCATCAGTATAACTATAACTCTCTAATACTAGTAGCTAAAGTAGCTAGTAGCTGTTACTCATTCGTAAGCAGCAGGACTGTGTCAGCTGGTAGGCAACCACCGCTGATTCCGACGCATGACAGCTACTGCATAACATGGATCATACAGTATCAGGCAAAGCTTTTTGTACAAATTAAAGTGGCATCAGAATTCAGAAACAACTTTGCCTTACATCTGTTTTAACACCAAAGTAAACATGATTCTGTCCTCTATGGGCGCACCTTGTGAATGAACATCTGAACTTGTTGCAGGAAGCACGTACGTACGACGGAGCTGACGATAATGAGGAGGAAATTTCCAAGTGTAAATCCTAGGAAAAAAGCAGGCAGCAAATTGCGGCTGCCTCATGCATGATTTCGCTGAATTTTCATATATACCGTACCTGCTCGGCCACTATCTAGCTAGGCCAGGTACTTTCAGTAGGTGTGAACGCAGAGTGTGGAAAAGAGTAACTCGATCTCTCTAACTAAAAACACTAGCTAGCACATATACTCCTACAACCAAAGAAAAACTAGTAAAAAAGAGTGGTGTGCAGCGAGTACCAATCGAAGCACATATATCACCAGACACAACGCGGGAAAGCGATGTGTTTGGGATTAGTTAGCCCAGTACTCTCTGCTTTATTTATTCCCAAATAAGTATGGAGTAGACAACGTCGTCGCAGCGTTTTAACCGAGAATATACCAATTTTTTAACTTCAGATGAAGTGTGCCCTGATGGGCTCAGACAAATACTAGCTATGACATCATATATATGATCCATTTACTAAACATGCATGCGTTGCTTACCTGCCTAGAGCAGGCTCTTTTTAGGTGTATGATATTTCGTTCCGATACTATCTATATGTAGGATGAAGTACTAGTATTATACAGTACTAGATACCCATCAATATCCCAGTCCCTAAGAGCAACCGCAATGGGTGACTCATAAGCTAGCTCTAGCTATTTTTCATATTTTAATGGCAATGCTACGGTACAAACTTTACCTCTAAGGAGGTAATATCTCAAATCAATCTGAGCCATTGATTTATTTGGATTTTATGAATTAGTTAAATAAATAAGTAACTTAGGAGAAGAAGAAAACATCCCTCCAAATCCATAGTCCCTCGAGAAACGGAAGCAACCCACCTGTATTCACGCACACCAGGAGGCACGGAAGCCTGATTCTTTTTTTTTTTCCATCGCTTTCCTTTTTTTTTGGTTGTCCTCACGTTGAAGAATTTTCATCAATCTCAAAAATATTTAGTTTTCTTTGCAGGGTATCTCAAAAATATTTACGTTCATTCAGCCACATTCGTACATGCACGTATGTTCTTTGGCTGCCAGCATCGTATTGTGGATTTTTGTACGTGTACATGTACAAGTGCAAGTATATCCTCCATCAATATGTTATCATGAGTTCATGTATACAGAGGACTTTAGATTTGTACGCGTTCATGAGATTTGGATAAAAAAATTAAACAACGTTGTATCAAGTGTGAAAGCTATATATAAGTGCATATGTTAACATCACATGCATATGTTATGTTAACGTACGTACAAAGTGCTAAAAATGCACAAACATGTCACGTTAATCACATTACGGTACATGAATACATGTTACAAGCAAGCCTCGAATATGTAATGCCTAAATTAAAGTTTCCAAATAAAAAGATTTGCCATACGTAACAAATCATGTATGTATAAATTAGTTGTAAAGAAAGATTTTGTAATCTAAAAGCTTCCTTATTTAGTCTATTTTATAAAATAAATAAATATATTGAACATATTACCTCTAAAAGGTAACATGTAATCGCAACCATCCGATTAATTAAATAAACGGCTAACAGTTATTTGGAGGTACCGTAGCAAAGCCCTATTTTAATAGAAGAGAGAGAAAAGCTAGTTCTTAAGAGCTAGACTCATACACAGATTTCAAAATCACGTGATAGTGTCATGTGGAACTATTCATGTTACGAGTTACGTACTAAAAGTCAGTACTATTGAAGAAGTTGACTTAAAATTACAACTAGCTTATACCACTACGGGTGATGTGTCGTATGTACGCGCGCAAACTATCTCCCACCAGTGGCCAGTGCGTGCGTAAAATAAAGAGCAACAACTATAGGATTAGGATGCATCTTTCAATTTGGTCCCATGCGATCGGATGCACTAGCTAGTGCATCTCGGCTGGCAAGAAGTATAGCTTCGGGGTTCCCATCGTGATGTTGAGCTCAACCAACATCTTCTGTAATAACCAAGGAAAAATCCGATCGACAATAATTAGTAGGGTGGAGATGACTGATGAGCGTTGCTCGATCACGAGGTTCTCGATCGAAAACGAAGCGTCCGAGGAAGCTGCTGCTGCAGCTGCTTTCTCGATCGCGCAGGGTAGGGGTAACCGGGCAGGGACCGGCCTCTTTCTGGGACGTTTTGCCCTCGGCAGCATGATGAAGACGTGTTACGTGCGGCCCGATCCGAATCCGACATGGCATTGGCCGTGGCCAATCATGCATAGCCCCCAGTCGCTAGTCCAAAACCCAAACGCTGTTGGCTGTTGCACCTGCAATTGCAAGCACCCCCTCCGCAAGACGAAACGCGCTTGGCATCCCATGTTTTGTTTTCGTCGTCTTCGTCTCTTACGATTAAAAAGAATAAAGTGTGGATATTTTTTGGTGCGACATTTGTTTTGGTTCGTTCGTCTGCCCACGTCTGTGATCCCACGACATCTTAATTACGGATTGATCATGCCATTCTCCTTGATTGAATATTGTCTGTCATGTGATAGAGGAATCACAGCAAAATAGGAAGTATAAAATTATTGTGCTATTCATATACACATTGCATGTTTGCATGCACCAGCATATATGGCAACGAGCAAAAGAAAAAAAGAATTAACACAGAAGGAAAGAGAATTAAGACAAAAGGAACATCTTTACATTTTTTAGAACCTTGTCAAATCTGCCTATATTTAATTACTTCTTCTCTTTGTATTTGCAAAAGGGACAGTTTTTTTCTCCTTTCATTTGGTTTCACGCTCACGTGTTCCATCGCCTCGCTTGCTGTTTCTTGCGTGAACAATAGTTGATGTCATCTGTCTTTCATGGCTTAGCCTCCCTATCCCAAGAGAAGGTCCCTACCTCTCCCTGACTGGAGATCCGGCCTGCCAAAGGATCTCCTCAAGTCCATCGGGCAGCATCTCGCGTCAGGCCACGACGCGGCGTCCTTCCGATCCGCTTGCTCCCATGGCGCGCCGCCGTCCCGTTCGCGACCTTCGGACCGCTCCTGCTGCTCCCGTTCGACCCGACTCGGACCGCGTCGGCTTCTACTGCGTCTCGGAGAAGAAGGTCTTGTCCAAGACGCTGCCCGACATGCGCGGCAAGGTGGCGTGCGGCTCCTCGTGTGGGTGGCTTGCGCTCATGAACGAGGCGACGTCCGTGACGCTGTTGAATCCATTCGTCGGTGCCCGTGCCCTCCGCGTTGAGCTCCCGCCAGCAGGCGAACACGTCGCGGCGGCGTCCTCATCGGAACGCGTGTCTAGGGTCCACGGCCGGTGGGTCCTCCATCCCACCAACGGCTACGGGGACGCGGCTGCCGCAGACAGAGCCATCAAGCTAGAAGGCATGAGGGACGTGTTCTTCCGTGAGATCGTGCTCTCGGCGTCGCCTGACGCCGCCGGCCGTGAGTGCGTGGCCATGGCCATGCTTGGGTGCTCCACGGAGGTCGCGTTCTACCGGGTTGGAGTCGACAACGTATGGATGCTGCTCGACACCAAACTGGAGTTCTCCGTGGGGTCCATCGTCCACTGCTAAGACAAGTTCTTGGCGATCGACTGCACTGGAGAAATCTCCGTCTGCAGCAGCAACGCCGCCGGCGCTACTCCAACCGCGACGCTGCTGCCATCGCTGTCGCCACCTGCAGGGCTCTACCACCACAGCTACCTGGAATCAAACGGTGAGCTGCACATTGTGGGTGCCATGGTAAGCACGTTCCACGAGACACAGAGCTTCACCTACAGCAGCGCGATCTACAAGTGCAACCTCCACGACCGTACGCCGGAGTGGTCCAGGGTAAGGGACATCGGTTATCAGATATTGTTCGTGTCTAAACTTTTCAATGAAAGCTTCAGTGGAATAAGTATATCCAAGTACAAGAAGAACAAAATCTACATGTCTGAGCCATTGTATGAGGATTTATATGACTTGGTTCATCGACTGGAGATCGTTGATATTGCTACCGGCGCATCCAAAGTGAAGCCCGTCCAGGAAAAAATGCAGGGTTTCGAGGCTCTAGGTTGGATTCAACCCAATCTCTGGAAACTCTAGAGTTTGTGAGCCTGCGACGCCGTGTACTCCACGACTGTGTTAAATTCATAAACTTTGTTTTTTTATTAAATGTCACCTTAACGTTGATATTTAATTTAACAGTGTTGTTTTACTATCATGCGATTCGTGTGTTTTTAGTATAAATTATAGAACGCACGGGCACGCTGGTATATAAATAAAGAGGGCAGCTCGAACGGCATTCGCCTCACAGTCCTGCGGTGCCTCCACTTTCGCAGCACCATTGCAATCAATCACCCGGCGCCCCGGCCTCTTGCCCCATCCGAACCTGCTCTCTCTAGCCTGCGCTGCGCTGCGTGGCACCAACTAACAGCCTTAACTAAGAGGTCGGTCGAGCGACGGCCAGCGGCGTCGTCGACGGCAATGGAGGCTGCGGCGGGCTGGTGGTGACGGAGCTGGGCCACATCAAGGAGCTGGTGACGCAGCTGGAGGTGCACCTCGGCGGCTCCTCACCCGACCTCTGCAAGCACCTCGCCTCGCAGATCTCCTCCATCACGGAGCGCTCCATCAGCCTGCTCATAACCACCTCCACCATCGACGGCACCACTAGGAAGCGCTCCGCCGTCGCCAGCCCGCTCAGCGACGCCTCCGACGCGCCCTTCCTCAAGGCCACCAAGAAAAGGTATCCATCGTTGGAGCTTCCCGATTAACAAACAAACATAAACCCTCCTGATTGGTCTCTGCTTGCTGAGGGTTTTTTTTTTCAACTGGTTTTTTATAGGAAGTGGTTAGGTGACGTTAAGTTGTTTTTGCCTTCTCCAACTGAATTTTTTTATGCACTTACACTATTATCTAGCTACATTTACATTATCTTATCACTATATTTATAATAATTTTTTCAGTGTATAATTTGGGGATAACACAAGATCTCAGACAAATAGATGTCAAAGTTTCAAAAAAATTACAATTTTTTTCTATAGATTCCAGATACAAAATATATGTCAAATTGTTAACAAATATCATCAAATTCTTCACAAATTTACAAATGGAAGAACAGAGAGCAGAGAAGAACAACAATAAAAAGCACATCTGGTCTTTGAGCGACAGAGAGGAAGCAGAGGACGGCGGCGCCTGCGCCGGGACACCTGCCGGGAATGCCGCGCCGCGTCAGGGACGCTCGGGCCGGGGCAGCGGGGCGGCGGCGGCCTAGGTGTGGCGGCCTAGGAGCGGAGCGCGGTTGAGCGGAGCTAGGAGGAAGCAGTGAGCGGCGAGCACAGACCTATGCGGGTGCAGCGGCCTGGGGGCGGAGCGTGGTCAGGCAGAGCGGGGAGGAAGCGGCGAGTCTAAATCTGTGCGACAGATCGGACGGCAGCCGGGCTTCCTATGCAGATCGGACGCACACAAATTTGGTTGATGGAGGCGCAAGAAACAATCGGTTGAGATATAGCATTTTTCTTTTTATATATTAACTTGCAGGAAGACGATGGACAAGAAGAGGCATGAGGTCAGGGTGAGCTCAGCCGGAGGCGGCATCGATCACCCGGCCGACGACGGCCACAGCTGGAGGAAGTACGGCCAGAAGGAGATCCTTGGAGCCAAGCACCCAAGGTGGCCACTTGACTTGACACATCCTCCTATCAAAAGATTATTTTCTTTTCCATACTCCATAGCCCAATCTCATCTGCACGTGTTCTTTTCGCAAGTGGAATCGAAATCATTTCCTTCTGCTTTCTTATATCTGCTTTAATTTGGATGGCGGGGATGCACTCCTGTCTTGCTGAAAAGTTGTTGCCTCTGTTTGTTTGCGTTGTTTGCAAGTGTTTGGCCTGCACTTATGCCCATGTTTAGTTCCCAACCAAAATCCTAAAAAGTGCTATAGTACTCATCACATCGAATTTTGCGATACGTGCATGGAGCATTAAATGTAGATGAAAAAAAAACTAATTGCACAGTTTGGTTGGAAATTGCGAGACGAACGTTTTGAGTCTAATTAGTCCATGATTAAACACTAATTGTCAAATAAAAATGAAAGTGCTAAAGTAACCCAAATTCCAAACTTCAACCAACTAAACACGCGCTATTATTTGTCCGATGTTCAGGGGAACAGTGATTCATAGTGCAATTTTCAAATCGTATTGGTGTCTTGGTGATGCTAGTTAATCTTGTTATGGATGCAGAAGCAAAATCTCCTTTTCTTCTTCTTCTTCTTTTCCCAAAACAAAAAAAGATTCAGGAGCTCACGAGCAAAAAGCAAAATTTTCAGGGACTACTACCGCTGCACGCACCGGCACTCACAGGGATGTGCGGCGACGAAGCAAGTGCAGCGCACCGACGAGGACCCGACCTTCTTTGACGTCGTCTACCTCGGCGACCACACCTGCGTTCAGAGGGCGGCGGGTCAGGCTGCCGCGGACGCGCAGGCGCCGGAGGACAACGCCAACCCAGGCGCCAGCAGCCTCCTGCGGAGCCTGAGCTCCAGACTGATGGTGAAGACCGAGGGGCAGGCCGTGGAGACAGAGCAGCAGCTACGGGGCTGGGACGCACCCACGCCCTTCTGCTTCTCCTCCACGCCGGCGATGGCGACCGGGTGCCTTCTACCAGAATGCAGCCCCTTCTCGGCGCCGTCGACGTCCAATAATTGGGGCGTGTCCCCGGCGACTTCGGACTTCAACCACGTTGTCTCCTTCCCGCCTTTCGAGGTCACAATGTACCAGAGCAGCACCTGCGGCCACGACGGGTTTCACGACGACCTCGACATCGACGTCTCAAGCTTCTTCGCGTGATCTGAGTGCAAGGAGGGAGCAACGAATCTTGCTAATGCAGCTGATGAACAATATGGAATCTGAGGCATGCAGCTGTGCGATGTGGCCTCCACTAGGTTGCTCTGTAGTAGTGTTTGTCCAGGGGCGGAGGTGAGAGAGATGAATCATGTTCTCTCTCGGTTAGTGGCAGTGCTTGTCGAGGAACTCTAGCAAGGTCTCTCAAATCAGCACCCTACTTTTTACTCGAGGTCCTATTTTTTATGATCTAATTTTTTACGTCTGCTCCACCAAGAGCCCTCAAATGATCAAATCAGAGCCGTCAGATCCTTTTTAATAGACATTGATAGAAGGGACCCGCTTGTTATTCTCTGTTCTTTCCATCCTCGATCTCGTCGGCATCTAGACTCACAGAGGCAGAGCTGCTTGCCTGCCCGCTCCCCGAGAGAAAGCTGGTAGCGGCTCCAATTGACGAATTAAAGAAGGGGCAGACGTCGTGGTAGAGACCGGCAGCGCTGCATACTGGGGCGGGAGGAGAGGAGCGGCATCGAGGAGGGTGGACGCCGTGGGTGAGGCCGACTATGCTGCAGACCAGGGCCGGAGGGGAGGAGTAGGATGGAGGAGGGCGGATGCCGTGGGATGGAGGGCGACACTAGCCGAGGAGGGGGGAGACTGCAGGCGGAGGGTGACGCTCGCCGGGAAGGGAGGGAGCCAGGGAAAGAGGACGACGCTCGCTGGGTAGAGGGATGGCGGCGGCGGTGGTGACGATATCAGATAGAGAGACTGAGAGAGGGGTGTGGGCTGTTAGTGGCCCAATTATAAAGTAGGGGCTCCCTCTAGACCCCCAGGAGTGAGAGCTGAAGCGAAGATTTGAGGGGGGGGGGCTCACTTTTAGGGCTCTGGTAGGAGCCCTACTATAGCTCTCTTTTTTTGCTATGGCCCTTAAATTTGATTTTGAGGGCTCAAGGAAGGGCATGTACGTTGGAGTTGCTCTCTTAGGATATTTGAATAGTAAATGCCCCTTATTTATCTTTTATGGGTCAAGGGTTGCAAAGTAAGCAATTTTGTAATAGGGATGTCAATTAATATAAGCATGTGAGTTTTTTATGAAACCTTCCAACATACTACCTCAGTCCCAAAATGAATGCAATCCTTGTTTTTGAAGAATCAAATGATTTAAAATTTGATCAAAGTTATATAAAAAATACTAACACTTATAATATAAAATAAGTACCATTAGATTAATTGTAAAATGTATTTTTCGTAAGAAACTTATTTAGAGATATAAATGTTAGTACTACTGGTCCATCAACCCATGCTCTCGCACGGGATAGAATTTTAGGTGATATAAGTATCCGTTAATATTTGATACATATAATAAAGAATTACTTATACTAAATTGTACATTTGTTTATTTTTTAACATAATTGACATTCTTAGTCTATATCCAGTTATAAGATACTTATTAATAATTTTTTTTTTGCAAGTGACTGATCTATATTTTTTTATTCATGTTTTATTTTTTCTTTGCATGTCACCTTTGTATTGTTTAAATATACAATAGTTTAAAAGCTTACCATTAACTACGGTGGTTCTGTTGGAGTAAATTTAGATGGCAGAAGATTCGACGCGCACTTTTACAGGTAGACCAGGAAGGAACGAATGCCGTGTGGCTGGGTCGCCGGAGATGGGAACGGACAAATTCTATGTCATACAGGGCGTACCAGAGGTCTCCGTCAATCCTCCATCTCAAGAGACCTGAGTCCTGTCCCCGGCCAGCCCAGCGAGCGAGCAACGGACACGTTCTCGAAAAGAAAGAGACCGACCCCAGCCAGTAGTACTACACTACAACGGACATGATTTAATTTCGCCGGTCCACCCGGCCGACGGATCCACCTTTCCGGCGGCATACATGCGTGCATGCACATCCCACGGAAGTGTACATGGATGGATCGGAGCCACGTATGAGTTGGGCCTTTTGATCACCACCAAATTCCAAGTTTTTTCACTCTCTCTCCATTACATTAATTTTTGGACGTATGTATGGAGCATTAAATGTAGGTAAAAAAAAACTAATTACACAGTTTTATTATAAATCACGAGATCGAATTTTGAGCCTAGTTAGTCCATAATCGGACAAAGTTTATCAAATACAAACGAAACGTGCTACAGTGTTCAGGTTGCAAAAATTTGCAATCTAAATAAAGCCTTGGACTATTTTTGTCATGCGACGAAAAACTCCCAATAATGCAAGTTGAGCGTACGCGATGGAGCAATGCAAAACAGCCCCTTGCGCGCGACAGGACAGGACAGGATGCCGGACGCCACACGCTGTCGAAGCTAATATACTCTCTCCATCCACATCCACGAAAGAACGCAGTTCTCACGTTTCCAGGATTCAAACACTAAAATTATACGGTATAAAAAACTAATAATACTCATATAATAAAATAAATACAATTAGATTAGTTATACAATATATTTTGATAATAATTTTATTTGGAGACATAAATTTGGTTAAACTTGAGCCTACTTTGACGGACCTAGTTCTCATAATTGGTGGACGGAGAAAGTACTGGCCGGTAGTAGCAAGTTTGGCAGCCTCCCCTACGTGGCTGTCTCGCTGATGCATGATGCTTTGATTTGCATTTTACCCGGTCGACGGCCGCTTCGTCGATCAAGCTCTGAAACGTGCATGATCGAGGAGGCGCACGTACCTAGTGAACGGTCCGTGGGCGGCTGTGCAGAAGACAGTATCGCAGCGCAAAACCTGGGGCGCGGCGCCGCGGCCGGACCTACGTACGCCAATTCAGCCTGGTTTTTAAACGTACAGGAGCCCCTCGATGGTCAATCGAATCGAATTCATTCAATCATCACTAGTACTGCATCCAATGCAAGGCATGTGTCCGTCTTTTCTTCTTTGGAAAAAAACAAACCAGTTGCCTGCGGCCTGCCCGGGGGTATGCATTTGCAGGCAACTAGCTACTCCGTCCGTAGGCAAGTTGCTCCGGCGGGCAGAGCCAATATCGATCCACTTGACCATTTGATCGATCACGTACGCCATCAAGAAGGCGCTGGGGTGATCCCTTCCCTGGGACTACACCTTTCGGACGTAATAGACGACCAGTTCAACCGCCAGTTTAATTCCTGTACAGGGACTACTCCAGTCCAGCATCATGCATTAGCTTATTACGGAGTATATATTATATACACTATTATACAGGAGGGACCACGTACTAGGACAAGTGGCATTATCTGCTCCACTGGTAGCATATGCATGCATCAAGGATTCAAGGCAAAGAAAAGGATGTGTGTATTTAGGAAGGGACGTGTTTGTTTCTGATCGAAACTCGAGTCTCGCTCGGTTGGCCAGACCCACGGTGTTTAGCGGACGGCAGATAAAAATCAAATCATGCATGCGGAAACAAACAGGGGCTCTAATTAAGGGCATGTTTGGATTGCTTCCAAAGTTTGCCATAAAAAACGTAGATCGATCTCTGTTTGAATTTGCATATATGAATTTTGCTTCAGCTTCGATCAGCAGCTAGCAATCTCTGCCAAATCTCCGGTGATCAAAATACGTCAGAATAGCACTTCACTGCCGGTTCAAAATACCACATCACTGTCAGATTTTGAACCGGCACAACCATACCGGCAGTGATGAGGGTAAGCTATCACTGTCGGTTCCTACAAACCGGCAGTGTTCTTCAACTTCAATGTCGGTTCTTTACATAACCGGCAGTGTTCATTTCCACCAACACTGCCGGTTCATAAGACCACCCGGTAGAACCCAGTTCCAATAACACTGTCGGTTTGTGTTTCAACCGGCAGTGTTGTAGTAAGAATCACTGCCGGTTTGTGACAAGAACCGATAGTGATGGCTAAGCCAACGCTGCTGGTTTGTGTCTCCAGCCGGCAGTGCCATCACTGCTAGTTTTGTTGCTAACCGACAGTGATGTTTATGACAACACTGTCGGTTTTCTGATAACCGGCAGTGATGTTACGTTCACATTTTATTTTTTTTATAATTGATTATAATTTATATTTTTATGTGGAATTGGGTTTTGCTTTATATACGCTACGTAGACGACAGGTACATCAATATTAAACATTATAAATGTTACGATTACAACTCAAATGTTCTTATCCACGTCTCGATCCCTCAAAATAAAAAAGAAATGTTCTTGGACTTCACACATGCTTCTCGGACTTCTTACAATAATCTGGCGAGCCGCTCTGGGCCATACTGGTCCTTGTACTTCACGGATTGTGCAATGAAAAATACTCCATCTTTTTTCCAATACCTCGGCTAAGATGAATTTTGCCAGCTCCGATTGCAGTGCGATGATCTCCATGTCTAACAGCCTTTCGTGGTTATATTTCTTGCGCTGTCGTTTAAAAAAGATGATATCCAAAGAGGAACAGTAAATCATTTTGTTGAATTATTAACAGACATAAATGAAATGGGAATTATACACACCAATTTATCGGCTTCTTCCGATTTCCAGCCGATGTAGCGAAGCATTGCCCACATTACATAAAACCCGCATTCATTATTTCCCGCCGGCTACGATAGGTACTTCCCCTCTATTTCGACAATGTTGAATGGGATCGGCTTCCCACCGATATGTCTTCTTCGGACACTGAGCAACATTAAAAAGAGAAACATTAGAAAGCGGTATGTGTGATTAGAAAATAATATGTTATTAGGATCGCTTACTAATTCAGTACTGCCACCGGTGCATCCAGATGATGAAATGGTTTTTTCTTTGAGTCCCACACCTCGATCAGATTTTTGGCAAGATTAACACAAATGAAGATGAAATGGTTGCTGCAATCACAGAATCATAATTATCGAATAATCTTAACAAAAAAAGAAGAATAAAATTAAAAGCCGAGAACACATACTTGCGGTTGTAGGCTAGAAGTATGTGGGTTTTGTTCTTCATCGTGAATTCGTCGAAAACAACAATCAATCTCTATTTCAGGTCTTCCACATCACATCCATGGAGGCCTAGACATGT